ATTTGAGGATGATCTGAGAGTTGAATTTCCTCAAAATTATTCTCATCTTCACTCAACTTGATTCCAGTTTATAAGCCGAATGTTGCCGTCTGTCGGTATTGCAAAATAATTGTACTTAAGCTTATTCGACGTGTACGGAGGAATGGCTGTGCTTTGCAGGCGCCGAATTTTTAATGACTTGACGTTGGCAATTATAACGGACCTTGTTTAAAACTGCGGTAGCATTTGCCGCTTGTTGGATTACAGACCCCTCCTCAAGGCGAAGTGGCTGCCATTCCATCCCGCGAATTAGGCTGAGTCCGTGCGTCTCAGGCGGGACTCGAATTTAGCTTCTTTGCGTTTACATGCAGAGGCAATGTCTTCTCATCCAATATCATGCGACCCAGGCATTACATGGGCGTCCCGTTGGTGTTGGGCATATGTGGACAGCCGGGTACGACCGGCTCGACAATGTATTTATAGGAATTGAATCCGTCTGTGGCTGCTGCTGCTGATGATGATGATGAGCTAAAGACGGAAAGTGCAGTTCTTTCCGCACTAGTGCCAATTAGCCTCACATCCATCACGTCTGAACTGCAGCTTCGGCTCCTTCCGGGCCCCACTAGTACGCCCAATGGAGATTGGACTTTGGTTGTGATCGTGAGGAAGGGACACGTTCTCATCTCGATAGTCTCGGGGTCGAGAATGTCTTTGGCGATGCAAGGATATTTGGGAAAATCCAACTCAGTCTATCATCAACTTATGCGACGTAGTGACTGAAACCCTTATTCAAATTATGAATAATTTTAGAGAATTAAAATCGTGTTTATTTGCTTCATAGCATAGTTTATTGTGAGATGGTCAAAGAGACAATAGTTTATATTCTAATAAACATATTTTGAATAGGTTGAAAAACTACCTTATCTTTTTGAAGCCCATGAAGTGACCAGGATGAGGTAGACATTAAAGATCATTCGAAAGGAAAAACAACTTTAAAGGCAAGGATAATGAAATTCTATGGCTTCATGTAGTCTGCTAATTCCATCACTTAGATACTACACTTTCCTTCATCAAATCCCGAAGTTTTATAGGCCGACCGGGTTATTATTCAAGAATTACTTGCTTCGAAGACTTTCATTTAGCGCCGTTTCTACTCTTCAGGCCCAAATGGGTAGACCATTTTGTGAAGGGATCTACTAAACTCCCACGAGATCCATGGCCTGGAGTCAACTGCCGTCTACGTTGAACATATTGTGCCACAAGTGGACAGGAGAAATGATGCTAAAAGATGAATTTAGGAGAGTTTCTTAGATAATTGGACCTAAAATAGTGCAACCCTATTATTCCTTTACGCAGCCACTGGGGCCAATGTATCACAGGTATCGCTTTAATCATACAAATAATTATTTGCTGGTGCATTCGACGACACGATTCACATTTGATATGAGTAATCGTGAAGCTTAACAGCAATGCTTGAATGAAAACGTAGTCAGCTTATGGTATGTAGAAAAACTGGGTTTTGAGGAATCTCTTAATTGAATGGGGTTAGAATGACTTTCATTTGGTTTGATGAGTCGAATGGAAGGGTTTCTAAAGTTGGTCTCACCTGAAGCCTTGGAGCCGTGGTTGTAGATTTGTGCGAATAGATCCTCGGCGCACCGGCCCGTCAGTTACATGACGGACGAAAGCTCAGCAAGCATTCATCGGGGTCGCAGAGTGATGCACTCACGACTCCAAGACAATGCCCTAAAGCTTCTGGTGAGACCAACTTTGGAATCCCTTCCACTCGTCTCTTCAAACCAACCCAAAGCTACTCCAACGTTAATCTGCTTATTTCGCTTAATGTGATTTGACGGCTAGTTGTCTGCCCACAATCAGATATCACTGAATTTCACTTGGTCATGCTCTTTGATGCAAGCAATTTTCGAGACTACCAATTATTCTGGATTCGGTACCCACGACTGTGCCGCTGGTCTTCTCATCCTTGCTCGCTTCATCACCATCCCAATGCATATAACACAGATTCGAGTCCCGACTATACTAGGGGACGAGGTTTAAACTGCATTTCATTCGCGGCTGTATCAAAAAATACTTTGAGTTTAGTGAAGAACAAATCGAGTTGAGCTTAGTACTGTCCGCTCTATCCTAACTGACCCAGAGTGACTAAGTTCTTAGGTTTGTGAGACAAGTTTAAGATGGAAGCCAAGAAGTTGGAAGCAGTAGAAGTCTGTGTGTCCTTTTGTTGGGCTGGCGGGTGGTAAGATTGGCATCAGAAGGAGGAGAGGATCACTGACTTCGGTACCGCCGGTGTTCGAAGAATTCTGCAAAAACGAGACGTCTCTGTGGAAAATGGAGCAGAGAGTAGTGTGGCGCACCATTATTTTGTGTCATCATAAGCTCAATTAGCTAAATTTTGGTTTCCTGTAGCATTGTCTTTTACAATATCACATTATATTATGTCTTATTATGCTATTTTATCATAAGCTATATTATCTTGAATTATACCTTGCATATTTTTCTGACAATTATGCAGATATCTACTTCGTGTCGGTCAGTTCACCATCAAAAAGACGTGTTACATTTGCATGTTGGCGCTACTTTCAATTAGTTTTGAAGAAGTGGTCCCCCTCAATTCGTGCAGGATGGTCCACCCAAAACTACAATCAGTCGACTTTTGATGAAGCCCAATTAGGAATCCAGTCCACTCGCCACACCAAACGAAACAAAGGCTGTACCAGCATGATTCTGCTGAGGGATTTTGCGGAACTCAGCTTTCAGTTTAGTCATTCAAGTCATGTCCAAATTAGGGGGAATTGCTGTAAACTCACGCTGCCGTGCATCACTTCTTCTTTCTCGCCTCTCCATCTCGCTTTGCTGACGCCCTCTCGACATGTCACCGCGAAAGTGCGAGCGCATTGCTCCGGTATTCTCGGGTGGAAGCGGATTGTGGTAGGCGCCAAGGCAACAGCCACGCCGTCAAACAAGTCGGCTTGACACTGGCAACTAAATGGCTCTTCGAGGTCTCATTCACAATTTTGTCGAGTCATGGAGAGATGAGCAATTGCAGTCGGACTCTACT